AAGAAGACAGGAAAAACTGGATGTCCGTACATGGGGTCATTTTCCAAATAAACACATCCTATTTACAATTTCCGCAGTCTTTTAAATATGTCTATCTAATCAGTAAAAACAATGCATCATTTTCCATGCTGATGTGAATACCGGTATTTCAATGAGAAAAAAATATAGGCAAGTAGAATTTTTTCTGTAGGTTATTTCAAAGTATTACATGTTATATACTAAATGTACACTATATACTTTGAACTGACGTAGGTATGCGGTATTTCATTCCATCGAAGCAATTAACAATGTAAATTTTAATTTACATGTAATTTCGGATTCGTGCAAGACTTCATAAATCATACTTTAAATGGCGCTCTATACTGAGCACCAGAAACAAAAAAAAAAATGTTCAAATTCAGCTTTATAAGTTTATTTCCAAAAATACGACTTGATCGACCGTTAACTTCTGTAACATAACCTTAAATTCAATGGATATTGAAATTGTTTTAAAAAGTTAAAGATACCAGATTTGTAGAAAATTAATTCTTTTTTCAAGCTCACTGGCATGTCCTTTAGAGAATTATAATGTTCATTTTTGTTCTAAATGATTTTTTGTTTTGTTTTATATCCCGAATTGGTCCATTTATCGTATAACGACTAATATATATATAGAATCCGAATATAACAGAATCAAACTTCCAGAGAATAAGTATTTCCAATAAAATTAGTTTTTCGATGCACAAGTTTCCTCACAATGGAGTTATATTCATCCCCCCGTCCCTGAACTTATTTTTGTCCCCGCTTTCGCGATAGCGAGGAGGCATTAAACTCTCATTCGTCTGTCTGTCAGTCTGTTCCTCTGTCACAAAAACTTTAACCTTGGTCATAAGATTTGAATGAGAAGAGATAGGGCTTTCATATTATACATGTTTATTACTTGTGACAAGACCTTTCTAAATACGCCATGATTTTTTACCCTGTAACCTTGACCATGAAGGTTGACCTACTTTTCAATTATTTTTTTTTTAATTGGCCATAACTTTTGATAGATTACATATTATACATGTATATAACCTGTGACAAGATTTTTGGAAGCACACTATTATTTTTTACCCCATGACCTTGACCTTTAAGTTTGACTTACTTTTTTTTTCAAAAACATTACCTTGGTCTGAACTTTTGAATGAGAAGAGATATAGGGTTTTCCTATTCACAAGTGTATTTTCTCTGCCAAGACCTTTCAAAATATACTATTATTTTTTCCCCACGTGACCTTGACCATGAAGTTTGACCTACTCAACAAGAATATTAGTTTTCCTTATAACTTCTGATAGAGAAGAGATTGAGCTTTCATATTTGTTTTCGAGCATGCTTTAATTTTTGATCCCTTGACCCTCATGTTTGCCCTAATTTTTAAAAAATTTTGATTTTGATGATTACTTTTGCATCACATATGATAGGGCGTATCCCATATGATTTGACACAATATGCCATAAATAATGGCATCCCATCCACTAAAACACCGAAAGCGGGGGAACACAATTCTTTGAACTTGCTTGTTTATTTAGATATTTGACTTTTGTGTAAGTTAAAGTGTAAAAGTGTAACGGTCTTTTTACTTATGTGATTGTTAAATCATAAAAAGAATCTAGATGCATATATGCATATAACTATGCACACGAGTGAGTATATACTAGTAATATTTACGTCAGCATCCTTATTTTGAAAACATCACGTCATCAAAGGTAATAAGCTGAGATCTTCATTCATGACCATATACAAGTGCACACAAATACGGTAGTGGGTATGCATTTCTTAGGTTTATCTTCATAATACTGTGTGTATATATGGATCCATGACGTACTTTGAAATTACATTGAATTCATTCATTAAAGTAAGTAGAATCCTACTCATTTTTATGAATTAATGGGCTATTTTTAGCATGCAGAAAAATCGAATATGTCTGAATGCATAGGAGGATTTCTGTTTATTTCTTAGTGCAGTTATTTCAAGAAATCCAGAATAAAATTACATGTAGTAATAAAAATTTTGAATTAGTCATACACATGAGTAAGGCGTTAATCCTTGCCCTTAAATGAAGAGAAAAAAGTACCAGTGATTGCAATGCCTGATAAGCCCCTTCCCAATACAATAAAATAATTTTAAGCCGTTACATTTATTGTTTGATTTGAACTCAATTAAGTTAACGATTTTAATTTATTTATGAAAAAACACCACTAGAAGTGTTGTTAATTTATGTTACATTTGCATGTATACCGGTATATTTATATGATGAATTAATATAATAGGATAAATTTGTTTTCCTGATTTGTTGGGAGCTTTCTGGAAAAGTAAAAATCACCTTTATCCTTAACAGGGGCCTTAAAAATCACGTTGATTTAGTATGCCAATAAGAATGTTATTTTAATGCGCTTATTCGGGATTTTTTCCCGCGGTTGGAAGGGGGTGGGGGTGAGGGTATGTCGTTTGTCATCGACGACAATATGTACTTATCCTCACTGCACTTATTGTCGTCCGGCTGAAAAAGGTACATAAAGTGTTGCTGACGACATTGTGTGCCTTTAGCCCACAGGCACTTGTTTCGGAAATAATTTTTAACCCATAGTATAATAATATGTTATACTATGGGTTAAAAAATTATTTCCGAAACAAGTGCCTGTGCTTTAGCCTTATTGCACATAAATGTCGTCCCACAGGTTAGCTAGGGCTGCTTTACTGTTTGTCCGCAAAAACTTTAACCTTGCTCATAACTTTTGAGTGGGCGGGGCTATGGCTTTCATATTTCACAGGTGTATTCCTTGTGACAAAACCTTTTTTGGGGCACCAACACATTTTACTGAAGAATGTTTGGCCCACTATTACAAAAAATTACCCTTCACAGGCGTTGGAATTGGGTGGGGGGTTATAGCCCCTCCCCACTTTTTTTGCAAAGATAAACATTATGTAGGCATTGAATATTGGAACTTGCGTTACCCCCCCCCCCTCCCCCCACTTTCAACAGGTGCAGTGTAATAAGAAAAAGTTAAGTGTTAGCTAGCGCTTGAAAAAAAAGTTTTGGTACTGAAAAAAGTTCAATAGAAATACATGTAGGATTTTCGAGTTTGGGAAATGTTTCCCTTTTGTTGTTGTTTTCAAGTTTTTTTCAGGTTCGAATCTTTTTGTCTTCTATTATCTCCTTCCTTCTCAATTTTCTTCCGATGCCAATAAGGGACCAGGCAAAATTTATAACAATGATGGGACCGGTACAAATAGGCATGGGAAATGAGTATTTTTTATAGAAGAAATTTTTTTTTACAATAATTTACAGTACTTTACCCAAGAGAATTATTCATTAAATTGAAAAATATTATCATTTTTCAAAAAAATAAATAAATAAATAAATAAATAAATAAATAAATAAATAAATAAATAAATAAATAAATAAAAGAAAGAAAGAATTCTCAAAAAAAGTCATATCTATAAAACTCCAAAACTATAAAACTCCTCGGACTTTATTTCTTAAACATTAAGAGCCATGGCTTTCATATTTCATAGATGTATTCCTTGTAGTAAATCTTCCATTGGATATACCAACAATTTTGACCTTCGCCTTAGAGTTTGACCCACTTTTTATAAACTTTAACTTTGGTCATTACTTTTGAACAGTATGTGCACTGTAGGGCTTTCATATTTCAAAGAACTTCCCTTGGATACGAACAATTTAGAGCTTTTGAACTTGACCCTAAAAGTTTACTTGCAATTGAGAAACTTCAACCCTCACCATAAGCCATAAGTTCAAGAACACCCTTTTTTCAGCATTGCCGTATGACCCCTTGAAATCTTTTATTTTGAATTTATCTCAATAAATGGGATCTTTTTTGATAAGGTGCATGTGCACATGCTTTGAATTGGGGTGACCAATGAATGCCGTTTAAAAACGCAAATATATAAATAGTCTTCAGGGCGGTCAGAACCGAAAATTTCCAGTTTTGCTTCAAATATGCGTCTGTTTATATTTTGGCAATGGTGCCTGTCTAAACATTAAAATCAAATATACGTATCTTGTTGTGTACTGTCAGCTTTAGAAAATAATTAAACTGAACGAAATGAAAATAACAAAAACAGGTAAGTCTTGTGTTCCAGTATATATATAGTATTTGTTTTCCATGGCACTTCAAGAACAATCCCACCTCACCTATCTATATGTACAGCATGATATGTTGACTGAGATGTAATATGAGCATTTATCTGTTTATATGAGCAAAATAAGGCCCTTTTCATCATATGTTACATCTGCACATCCAATGATGTGCGTTGCATGTAAATATTTAAATGTCTGAAAGAAAAACTCAGCTAGGCTAGGCTGCATGCCGTTAGTTGCTAAATAATAATTTAGAGATGGGGGGGGGGGGGGGGGGCGGGGCGCACTGTATTATTTAGAATTCTACAAGTAAAGATGACGGGCAAAAATGCATTGCTGATCTTTTTAGGTCAACAAAATGATTTACCCTCCTACGGGAATTATAAAATTTGTAATTTTAAGGTACAATGTACACAACATAAACTTAGGGAACGTAAATTGTGTCCCCACCCCCACCCCCATCCCAAAGGAACTAAGACTTCTTCAAATTTCATTTTATTTTGAAGGAGGAATGTTGGGTCCGTTTATGGGGGGGGGGGGTCAGCCTTTCGGTAAACAAAATTATAAGAACATTCTGGAAAATACAAGAATCAATATTAATATTTTTAGTGCATGTGTTTCAAATAGCACTGGGGCGAAAAAACTTTTAGGTGCGATTCAACCCGACACCTCGAAAAATGAGCTTGCCCTTTTGGCCACGGGAGGCAACGAAACTGATATTTAGACGACAACTTGTTTGTGTTCATGGTGTATATGTTGGTCCTTTTATCATGACGAAATGCTCGAAGCTGCCGCGTCCGGGATTTTACTCTGATTGCGTAGATAAACACCGACGAACCAAATCACGCCAGTTATCACGTGATGAGATCAGTATGTCATAAATAGTAAACACAAGTAGTAGAACGTTAGAGGCATAACCATGTCGTTAGATATGAAAAGTTGTTATCGTATTGACTCCAAGTTAAGGACAGTCATGAAACGATATCTTTGGTCCACGTTTTCCCACTTTGTCCACACTTTGAACTCTCTATTTATCTATGTAGGACTCCGGTGGAAAATGGGTGAAAATCGAATGGAAGATGTGAATGAAAAGGCATTTAGGTGGTGTAGAAAATCGATTGGTGGCGCCTGGGCTCGAATATCCAAAGGAGAGATAGATATAAAACCTATAAGGTATATCCTAAAAACAAAAGATTAAAATTTTGTTAATTCTTTTTAGAAGACTTGGTTAATGTAATAATGATGATAACATGCAACGTGGCCTGTGTTCGGTGTACACAAATGGGGCTTTACGTCACCTTGTCACGGGTTATTGCATATGGTTGTAAACAAATATGAGTAAGAATGTTTACAAAATTTAACAATGAGGGCATTTAAAAATTTTAGATTTATTTTTTAAAAATCATTTTGTTACTTTGTCAGGGGTTATTGCATTTATGGTTGTAAACATAAAAATATGTAAATCAGATGAATTATAAAATTTTAAAAGAATTAAACTTCCTTCTTGATAGTTCACAGGCACTTGTAACAAAAATGAAAAGCCTAGAACAAAATTTCCTATATTTACTGATTGATAAAAATATGTTTCTAAAGACAAGAGAGATAAGATGATTGAGGGTTCAACTAACGGTATTTTTTTTTTTTTTTTTTTGCTACCTATTGAGGTGATTTACAAGAAATTTTTTTTTTATTATTATTTTAAAATAGATGCTTGGGGCTCATTTTTACTTACATGATGGTTATTTTCATTAACAGTGGGGGACTTACAAATAGACTATATCTGTGTTGCTTGCCAGATGGAACAGAAACTAAGGACAGTGAGCCCCGTCAAGTGCTAATGAGAATATACGGTGAAATCGCTCAAAGAAATGATTACATGCTCAGGAACTCTGTCATTTTTGCTTTGTTTTCTGAAAAGAAGAAAGGACCAAAGCTGTATGGGATGTACCCAGAGGGACGGATAGAGGAATACATTCCTGTAATTATATGCAAGATTTTCAAACTTCTTTTAAATTGTTTTGATAGTAACAATTTTCTTCTTTTTATAATGACATGAACCTGATCGAAAGACTCAAACTGTTTGTCTCTGTTTATGGTAAAAGGAACTTATAATAATAAGGCAGCATATTCATAGTAGTTAGCCACATTCAAGAAACACTACTTAGCATTGTGCCTTTAAATCCATTAACAGATGTATGAATGTTATTAAATACAAGTCAAGTAATCATTTTAAAACTTTTTTTATTTTGCAGTCTAGATCACTGAAGCGTAAGGAATTACACGATACAAAGCTTTCACAACACATTGCTAAAAAACTTGCATACTTTCATACCCTGGAAATGCCGCTAACTAAGCAACCAAATTTCCTACGCAAGCAGATGAATGAGTAAGTATATGTCACTATGCAATGTATTTCTATATATGTTGTATGCTGTAAAACATTTGTACCTGTATATGTAGGCTTGACCATTAAGAGCATGACATTTTGTTTGGAGATTTCTGTTACCCCCTTTGGCCAGTGGACATTGCTGTGGCTAGTTCTAGGCAAGTCCTGGGGCCAGACTTCTTCACAGAGATGGGTCACTGCTGAGTTGGGTGTCCTGTCCTTGGCTATTTTTGAGAGTAAGATTGCAATCCTATAGAGTGTGTAGTTCTATTGATACATCATCATTTATACATGTAGTAGATGCTTCTTCTTGGAGCCAGGCTTCATCACTGGAATTAAACTAATTAACTCATCAGGGATTCTCTATTATTATTTAGAATGTTATGTACAATATATGCATGTTTGTTGTGTTTACTACTAAATACTTGTAATATTATTTAAGTAATAAAATGCCTTCTTTGGTTGTTAGTATGGGAATTAATGTTGCAGAAAAAATACAATTTTTCTGCAATATATCTGCGACATTAATCCCTGTACTAACAAACAAAGAAAGACATCTTATTGTTTATAATTACACATTTAAGTAAATTAAATAATATGTTAAATATTGTATTGTGGATGAAAATGTTGTATGCATAACTGATGGAACAGCCATTGTTCAAGAAATCTATGCACGTGGCTTGCTTAGTGTCATTTATGCACTGATTAATGGCAATGGTCTTCATAAGAAATAAACGAAAAAATATTCAGTGAATGTTTATATAAAATCATACATGTCCAAATGGGGTGAAGATTTATTGGCTTACATTTATTTTGTGCCATATAAGGAAATTCATTTCATTTTTCTTTTGATGTGTTTATGATTATACATTGTAGAAAAATGATTTGTAAAGTATCCTCTGATCAATACACATTTTATTTTACCTATAGGTGGTTGTCAGAGGCTGAAAAAATTTTAGAGAGTGCTGCCACAAAAAATCCTTGCCCTTTGGTTGGGAAGTTGCAATCATTTCAACTCAGGAAGGAACTTTTAGAGTTATTGTAAGTGTAACCTCTACCATTTATTACTGTTATTTATTCTCAGCATGCAGAATTTTTTTTTCTGTAGAGTTAGAATAAAATGTGGGCCAGTCAGCACAGAGTTAGTATTCAAACTTAAACAGCTTGTTTAAGAAACTCTAGCCAGAAGCTTTAAGGGCCTGTAGTTTTTTACATGTATTAAGAAATTTGATGTTCTCACTGGAACACTGACACATTTAAGCAACTGAATGTCCCAAATAGCAATTGAAAATTTTTAAGAGAAATGTAAAACTGGTAGATATGAATATTTAGAAAACTTTTGATACATGTACATTTTCTCCCACTCCCAGCCATTCTACTATTCAAATATAACCCTTTTTCATGAAAAAATATCAGTAAGCATTAGCAATGCATTTAGTATTACACATGTTAAGTTATATAATTGCCTCCTTGATCCTATGTAGATATTGTACTTTGTACCTATCATACATGTAGTACGTATTATATGTAATTGTACTTTCAGATCTATAATGGGAAACTGTCACTCTCCAGTGGTATTCTCACACAATGATTTACAAGAAGGTGAGTACGGAATGTTTTGTTTATTATTTATATAATGTCCTCAATTGACAAGTAGTGCATATTTCAAAGTCCAAAGTATATTTACTCCATCCAGTTGTCTATTATGATGCTGCTTGTACATTTGACATTTGAAATTACAGAAAGTAAAATTGTATGCATGCGTATGGAAATTAACAAATGTTTTGGAGGCATGTTTTTGAAAGTGTTGCATCACATTTGGAATGGGGACCCTTCATAATCTAATCATTAATGATGTAACTTGTATTAATTTAGGATATGTCTCTGAACAATAAAGATTTACACATGTTATATTAGGTCAGATTCAAAGGAAGTCATTGTTAAGAACACACCTTTTTAATATGGGGAATGTGGAAGCGCAGATTGAACATTAAATTATTTATGAAAAAAGGATTTATTTTGGATGTAAACTAAGGCAATTAAGAATGTACCAACATCATAGGGAATGATTGTATGAAATTACATTAGCAAATGTTTAATATTTCCAGAGGGAATATTGTATATTGTATAGCAATATGTATTATGCACTCTGAAAAAAAAACTCTTGTGTTATTCTTACATGCAACTCTATTTATTAACAAAAATTGTGAACATCTGCTTATCTAACATAGAGTTGTTTGTGTTTTTGTAGGTAACATATTGTTAATAGAAGATGAACCAGACGAAGAGAAGAGACTAACAGTAATTGATTGGGAATATGGCAGCTATAATTACAGGCAAGAAAACAAATATTCCCAACTTCTCAAAAGTAACATCACCCTCATTTGAAGAAGATTATAACTGTTGTTAAAAATTTATTTTAATACATGTGTAAGATTTTTATGTTTTGTTTTTTTTTTTTTTGTTTTACAGAGGATTTGATTTTGGCAATCATTTTTGTGAGTGGTCGTGTGATTATTCATGTGACGAGTATCCATATTTCTCCTATCATCCCGAGGATTATCCCCCTACACATAGACAGGTCAGTGCCATAGACTTAGTTTATCATTTTATTGACCATTCAGGGAGCAAAATGACAGCTGTCATCTTGTTTGTTTTTTTTTTCATTCTGTAAAGTGAAAGGATTTTGTAACACAACAGTATACATATTATATTGAAACATTAACTTTATGTGTTGAGACTCACGCCTAGAAATATACACCATTAAAAATTTTCCATTTATGTACTGAATTGATTCCACATTTGCAGTATATAAACATAGGATTTCAAATACGTAATCTAGCATTTTTATTTGTCACAGTACAGTACAAGTTTCACTGTAATTATTGTCTGTATTTATACCCCCCGCAAACGAAGTTTGGGGGGGTATATAGGAATCACCTTGTCCGTCTGTCTGTCTAGCTGTCTGTCCGTCCGTCTGTCTGTGCAAACGTGTCCGGTCCATATCTTTCTTACGGAGGGACATTAGAATCCACTACTCCACACAAAGATTGCCCATGACCTAAGGGTGTGTCATGACCTTGACCCAAGGTCATTTGGGGAAGTTCAAGGTCACTGGAAGAAAAAGTTCATAATTCGTGTCCGGTCCATATCTTTCTTATAGATAAACTTGGTAGGTTCTCATTTCATGCAAAGATTGCCCATGACCCAAGGGTGTGTCGTGACCTTGACCGAAGGTCACTTGAGGAAGCTCAAGGTCACTGGAAGAAAAAGTTCATAATTCGTGTCTGGTCCATATCTTTCTTATGGATAATTTTGGTAGGTTCTCATTTCACGCAAAGATTGTCCATGACCTAAGGGTGTGTCATGACCATGACCCAAGGTCATTTGGGGAAGTTCAAGGTCACTGGAAGAAAAAGTTCATAATTCGTGTCCGGTCTACATCTTTTTTATGGATAAACTTGGTAGGTTCTCATTCTACACAAGGATTGCCCATGACCCAAGGGTGTGTCATGACCTTGACCAAGGTCATTTGGGGAAGTTCAAGGTCACTGGAAGAAAAAGTTCATAATTCATGTCCGGTCCATATCTTTCTTATTGATAAACTTGGTAGGTTCTCACAGAGCTGCCAACCCTTACGATTTTGGCGTAAGGCGTACGAAATCAGCGTCTAAAATACGCCTTACGATTTCTCTCTATATTCTTCAGATTTCAGTTTTTCTCCTTCAAAGTTTATAATATCGGTATTTTCATAGCTGGCAGTCTATAGTTTCTACTATTATAATATATTTATAATTCATTCTGACAATGCTTGCTTGTATCTTCGTTTAGTTTTAAAGGCCGAACACATGTCAAATGTTTTAAAGTAAACAAAATGGAAACATGCCTCAGATTGCTTGTTTATTTACATAACATCTTCAGCGGAAGGGGGCCTAGGTGATCCCTAGACCCCGCCTTACTATTTGTCATTTCCGAATGTTGGCAGCTCTGTTCTCATTTCACACAAAGATTGCCCATGACCCAAGGGTATGTCATGACCTTGACTCAAGGTCATTTGGGGAATTACAAGGTCACTGAAAGAAAAATTTCATAATTCATGTGTGATACATATCTTTATTATGGAAAAAGTTACTTCTGAAAAAACCCAGCGGGGGGTATTTTGTCCCGTTTGGACAGTTCTAGTTTTATTTGTTACAGTATGAGTTTTTCCGTAAATATCTCGTGGAGCAAAATAAGATCCTGCCCGTTCCAGTGGAGATAAATGAGGAGACATTAAAACAAATGTACAAAGAAGCCAATATCTTTGCCATGACATCACATTTCTTTTGGGCTTTGTGGTCCATTGTTCAGTTAGAAATTTCAGACATTGAGTTTGGATACTTGGTAAGTAGGAGTCTAAAAGCAAATTTTTATGGCCAGTAAAATATGATTTTATGGCAATGTATTGATATTTTTTCTTATAATTCATTTTGAGACATAGAAAAATCACCAGTCAATTACAGATGTACTGAAAGATAATGTACATTAAATAATTGTTTGGAAAGGAATAAATTAAAACCTTATGACCTTACATTATTTTGATATTTTTAGGAGTATGCAATCACAAGGTTTGAGGGGTACTTTGCAAAGAAAGAATCCAATGCAAAGGAAGGCCTCATCTGATTGATTGAGCATTGAATCCATGGAAACCAAAGATGGATACAACTCCAGTGCCATAGACTGGGCTCAGTTCAGCGCCATCTACGAGAGTTACAGTCCTTCCAACTACAGTTGTCTTTCTTTTTAAATTTTTGTTTTTAAAACATTTTACTGTTTTTTAATTGTATGGAAATCCACTGTCCAATATTTACATATATCAGTGGAGAAAATTATGGACAGAATATTGTATACATGCATTATGTTTTATAATAAAAATCAACTCGAGACTTGTTAGTTTTTTTCATAGGATTAATTTTGAAGTGCATTGAGGCAATTTTGGAGAGTACAATTTTGTCTGAGAAGAAATTGAAGAGAGCTTGTACTATGGTCCTTTGTGTAGTGTGCATAAATATCTTTCAAACTGTTCCTTGTTTCATCAGCCCTGTGGCCAATATTCATAAAAATATTCACGTGGCATCCTTGGATCTACAACTTTTTAGAAAACAAGATCTATGTAACCATTTACAAGGGAAATAATTTGAGAAATACCAAAAATAAAAACCTCTAAAATCATGACCAACTGTCAGATATCTTATCCAATTTGCACATATGTTCTAAGCTGAAAACTGAAACAATTTGGATTACAACTTGCTACAGAGTTGGTTAGTGACCAAGAAATATCTACTGTTGATATGGGAGTTAAGGACCACAATCCTCAACAGTGCATGGACATATGATTATATGTAAAATATATGTACCATTTTACCCTTGGAACTCAAATCTAGTTAAACATTTGGAGAATACCGTCAAACTAAACATTTTTCTTTCCTCATACTTGCTATAGAGTGCATGCAGCACAGAGAAAGACATCACATGCAGGACCAAGAGGCCATAGGTCAAGGACAATGTTTGGTGTTCATCGTCTTATGAAAAACTGTGTTCTTCATATGCCCCCCTTTGCATTATCCTTGATAAATTATATTTTTTTTTGTATTTATAAATAAATCACATTCCTTTGAAAAACAGAAATATTTTATTGACAAACTTGAACAACAAGGTCATTTTCTACATCTATAAATACTGTGTTCATGAAAAGACAACATTATGTGATGATTGGAATGTCTAATGTCAACAGATACGTATATTGTGCCACCATTACAGAAGAAAAATGGATTTGTCAACAAGTTTTAACTTGTAAGATAATCACAAAACATTAATTTCTTTTTTCAAAGTCATAAAATAAATCAACATTCAGCTTGGACGGATAGTATTAGTATAAACTGAAAGAACACAACATCTGACACACCACAAATATATATTAATTAAACATAAATTAATTAAAATGAAACTTGGAGGTAAGAAAAATTAAGTCATATTAGGGCATATTTTTGGGAAAGATTTTCAGAAAATACAGAATGTATGTTTTTTCCTTTTAATATTTAAAGGAATGAGACGGAATTCAAAAACTTGTTATATATGTAAAAGCTCAAAGAACTTTCCCAATTTGGAGGTTCACTTAACTGGAACAGAATGGCTCATCCTGTTAGTTAATGAACAAAATCTTTGCAATTTATTCCCTCTGGACATGAACTTTAAAAAGACAAAATCATAAAAGCTTATAACATCCATTGAAAGAAACCTGACTTTTCAATTAATTTTTTTTTCTCTAATAGCCAAATGTATGTCTAATATTTCATCATGAAAAAGGAATGCCAGCATTATGGGATTTGTTTGTGGACAATGAATAACTAGCACTTTTAATTGTTAATAAATTGCACCCAAGTATCCAAACACTAACACAACTTTCTATCATAAATAAAAATAAAACATTAACTTATTAAAATAAAACAGATTGTGTAAGATCAATGTAATACATATGTACCTAATCTAAAATCACAGAATGTAAAATAAATATAAAATGCAATACAAATGTACATATCATTGACTCATCAATAAACTAATGTTTCAGTAAAAATTATACAACTGATTCAATAAAATTTGAAATGATCAACAATCGACAATGTCTTGGACGGATTTCATACATTTTATGAAAGACAATTTCATGGCCTATACTCCCAGGTCTGATATTTATCATCAGTGATTACAAAAAAGGAATATTTAATTATCACAGTTGAGTTGTCTACATCATACTAAAGAATTGCCAAAAACTTTAATGTGTACTTCTACTCAATATAGAAAATAATTATCACATGCACCACCTGCGCATTAAAAAAAAGATGTTACCTGGGTAATAACATTTTTGAAAGTTTTCATCAAATACAAAGAATAATTTCTTTAGATAGTAGTAACATAATATTCTAATTGTGAACACATTGCAAATAACCATGCACAATTTAACAGCAGTTAATTCATAATGAATAGAAATTTGCAAAGTACATGTATTTTGCAATATACTTACTGCTCTATGTAGTTCATTTAATTTTATCAGGAGAAATATTGTGTGTATTTGTGTGTATTTACATGGTAACTAATCACATGATACTGGAAATGTCATGAGATACATGTACATGCATTGACACCCTGTAAAAATATTTAGACATGCCCATTGATCTATACCCATTAGTGACCACATCTTAAAAACAAGATCGCCTGTAGGTATCCAGTACCTAGAAGTGAAGTTTTGACTTCATTAGCTACTGTACACTTGTATAAGATATAAGAAAAAATACCTTTAAATAATGATACAGATGGCAAGAACATCAGAAAGTTACATCAAGCTCGAGAAATGACAATACTGATTTTACTTAAACTAAGATAAAATAGAGGACTACTGCTGATAATATTTACATGACTTGTGTCTCAGTGAAATATCTGTTTATTCCCTGCATTTTCTTTTGAAACATTTCAATGACTGACAATAAAAATCACATCACCTAAATAAAGTTTACATCAGCTCCTTTCAAAAAAATCACTCGAACTCCACTATCAGCAATAAACATTGGGTCAAACAGAAGTAAAAAGTCTGTAATACAAATATAGATTGCATCTTAACCCTTAATCTCTAGAGTGACATAAGATTGGACCTTCATCACAAGGGGCCGAGGCCATTTTTCTTCTTTTTGCCCTTCTTTGTGTTAACGGCGGGCAGGGCATCTAAGCGTGTGGGTTTTCGGACCATGGCGTCCTCCTGCAGTAACTGACCGTGGACGGCAGCCGCCCGGAGTCCGGAGCTCATTGGGTCCTCTGTCATGTGACCATTGGTCATGGATCCTCGCGGACTCTTCAAGCTGTAGGCATCCTTTACTTCATTGATATCTGAAGGAGATATTATGTACTTACTTTAAAACAGATGTCAATGTGTTTCTGAAATACCTTTAACAATTTAATCTTTAAATTGCTATAAAGAATTTAAAATTTTATAGCATGCCTCATTTAATGCATAATATTAACATTTTTCCTTTAATAGGATATGGACTGATGTTATCTATTGCCATTGCAGCCATGTGACTACTAACATTCCTACCCCATCAATATATCTTGAATACGATTTCTTATAAAATGGTAATAATATTCAAGAAATAAAATCCAGAAATGCTATAAAGGAGAGGCGACATACTGAATCTGTTGATTGGTTCGTTGGACTGTAGAAGCTGGCTGGCTCGTTTTCCCTGGAAATATTTATTGGAGTTGTCCTCCCTCCTCATGATTTTCTAAAAACAAACATTTGAAATTATTTTGAAACAACTTAATGAAATGAGACAAAAGACAATGAGTGTAAAGGGGTGATCAAATGACAAAATAGTTATTAGATATCAACTGAACATTATAGGTAGTAAATCTGAGTGAAAATTGATTAACAAGCTTTGTAGAATGTATGGGTATTTGATAAACCCTAAGGTACTATATCAGTCACCTCTTTAAAGCGGTCCTCCTCGTTGTCATACATACTGGGCTGGATGTCTCCGTTAGACAGTCGGGGTCTACTTCTCCCCTCCATCGGACGTCCCCCCGGCATCACACCCTCTGAAAAAGTCATGTATGTGTCAGAATAACTCAAGGTTTTTGTCTTCACACACTTAAACTTTTCAAATTCTCCTTAGATTACTGAATAGTTTTAGTGCAGATATATATTATCATTTATAAGACCATTACTGATTAGAAGCAATACATTTGGAATGAATGCTTTTCCCTTTTGAAAATGTCTCAAGCCTTTTAAAATAATTGCAAGAGATGCAGAATATTAAAAATCAATACAGTACCAGGTTATCAATATATCTCAATATGGGCAAAATGACCAATTTATTACATTGATGAATGATTTATTAAATTCATGTATTCTAAGCTAAGTAAAGGAAAAGGATCAAGAAATAAGTTAATTCTACTGAGCATTACATATAAAATATGGAAGTATTAGTTAAATTTTAGAAATTTAAAATAAAATTATATATACAAGAAATGATGACAGATCACTCTTATATTTGTGCTTCTTAAACAGTATAAAGTGCTCCACACATTTTCAGGCCATGCAAGCATTGTTGTGGAATGTCATACAAATCTAGTTAGATACTATACGTAATTAAGATATGAATGCCAGTTTGTGGTAGATGAATAAAACACTGAATGCTGTGACTGATACTTCAATTATACTAATTCTGCATTTCATAAAACTCCAGATCAATTTTCTCATGAGGTAAATTTTTTAAACGTGCAAATCACCATATACACCACAAGTGCTCTCTAAAATACACAAAAAGGGGGTATGTGCAAATTATATGGGAAATCATGCTTGCTCGTGCTGACAAAAGTTAAAATAAGATGATACTGATACAAAAAGAGATAGATTTCTTTAGATATACACCATATACTACAACTTGTATATAAAAGTTTGTAAGAGAATGTATATAATGGCTTTTGTAATGCAAGAGAAAGTTGAGGAAAAAATCCAAAAACAGCCGTGTAAATACCATCTGATTCATATCCTGTTCTCATTTCAGTATCTATCAAAAATCAAAAATGGCACAGTTAGCGGAATAATTGGGAAGCTGACAGTTAGATGGACAGATCGATAGCAAAAAAAAGATCAGAGGAAAAAAGATGTTGAGTTAGTTCTAGCAATATCATTATAACAAGCTGATTAAGAGGAAATAATATAGGAGCTTTGTTAAGACACAGAAACATTTATATATACAATGTTTTTAATGCATGCCGACACCCGCCATTTTCCAAATTTCCAAAAGCATAACTTAAATTACCATGATTTACTCTTGGTGCAGAACTGACTCCATTTTCTGTTACAATAGATAATGTTAAAATAGAAGATTAGTCGTTTTCACCACAAGAAATTTATTATTACTCAGTTCTGACTTTTGTTGCTTTAATTATTATAACAGTGTACAAAATTAATATTAAAAAAACACTGTGAAAAGAAAAAAGACAAGATCTCAAAAATGTTAACACACCAAGGCTGTAACTACCATTGAGGCAAGTGAGGCAAATGCCTCACTAAATTTTTAGAGTTTTTTGAAAAGTGAAAAAGTTTTACATTTTACTTATGTGTGTCTTCGTGCTAAATTAATATTTTCAACTTTTATTTCCATTTCTGTAAATCGTTCATCAAACCAGGTGCCTCATTTTCATTTACATCGCATGTAAAACTTAATTCAAAATGTTTATTTTGCAAATTATTCGTTTATTTAACACCCCTTCTAAGAATTTTTCATTCATATTGAAACACTTGCCGATGGAGGGCTGCAAGTTTTAAATCTGTACTGGGCTTTCAGGATCAGTGAAGATGATTGAACAGTGAGAGATCTTTTTGTGCCATCACTTACTGTGACATAGGACCTCGGTTTTTACGGTCTCATCCGAAGAACCTGTCTCTACATCCCGCCGTGGGATACGAACCCGTGATGTAAGGATCAATTCCTTAGTCTGCGACTTTTGAGCATACGCTATAACCACTGCGCCATGCGGGCGACAATTCAAAAACGTAAAATCTTTTATTTTCTAAATCGTTAAATATCTTATTTTCTAATACCCAAGTTTCAGGACCTCCCTCCCCTGGGAAACAATCACTGGTCATGAGATACACGTACTACCCTTGCCCCGTCTGAGACTAGGAATGCCCAGCACCCTTGCCTCACTAAAAATTTGAGCCTAGTTACGGCCTTGCACACCTTAAGATTTGTTAAAAGATGAAGACAAATGTGTTTGAAATATGATTTTTAGAGGTAAATATACTGTAGATAGGACTTTTCATCCATATGTCCTTGATCTGACATGATTGGAGATTTATAATTTCTGTATACATGTATTAATTGATTTATTAATGTTCATACTGAAAGTCAAGTTTCAGAACGAATTATTTATCTAGTTAAAAGTCTTGCTTTTTCTAATGAAAATAAACTTGGTAGTAATGTATGATAACTATAGGAAGAATATATATACAAGGGTTGAACAAGATCATAAAAAAGCCCTAATAATGTAATCTTCGTACATTCACCAAAACTGAAGGAAAGTGTACAAAACTTTATGGTACAATTTAGTTTTAAACAATGATATCAGCAGCAAATATTCAAAAACAATGTCAATGAGGTACACATCTTCTAATTTAAAGTATAGGTCTCTTGGATTATACAAACAGTATACCTATGGAAAAATGCTCAAGTACATATGTGTTACATGTGACATGTGGGACAAATGAAAAAACACTAAAAAAAAACACGTATGACATTCGAAAAAAATCAAAAACAAAAAGTGCTATTTTTTCTCCTCTTAATACACACTGTGTTGCCAAATTAGACCTACAGTAACAGGATTCAATCAAACATAACCACGGATCAGAAGGCACCACCTACCTGCCACAGACAGGGCCGTGTTGTTGATGGACATGCGGGGGAGGATCCACTTTCCTTCGTCCTCGTCCCACTTACACTCCCGCCTGACCTTGTCAAGGTTGTAGTAATTACAGTCCCGCCTCAGGCAGGGGTGGATCTTATCTAGCAGGGCCTGCAGGAGGGCCAAGTCCTTCTCTTGTTTTCTGATGGTGTCCAGGTAATCTATTCTCTCAAACTGGAACTCCGACTGGATATCAATGATCTCTCTCTGTAAACTGTCATTCTGAAATCAACAAAAAAATCTTGAGAATACCTTTACTTTCCAATCTCTCACTCCAAAGAGGATGATAGCTGACATAAAGATAAATGCTGATGAAAGTAATTTGCATTTAACTACTTTGTAGGTGACATATGAATTTTAATTTTTGACTCATTTAATTACAGGTCTACCTTGGCTTCTATTTTCCTGACTTCCAAATCTTTGTCTCTGACTTCATCCTGAGTTTCATCGTAAATTTGGAGCAGGATGAAATCGTCGTCCATATTGGCAATGGCCTCTGAAATCACACAATCAGATCATGATAATACTTCATTTCCTTAAAATTACTGCCTATTATTAGCTAATTTATCATCCAGTAGATATACAAAAACTAGTCTATAAGAGTCTGGGGAAATACCTGCGAGCCTCTGCTTTCTTTCATCAGCAAACAATTTCCGTTTCCGTCTCCTTTCTTTGGTTGCTTTATCGTCTTTTTTCTCTCCACCAACCATTTGTTTTTCCAGTTCTTGTAACCTAAACAAATTGAGTTCATCGTCAAAATCTTTTAATTACAATACCAGTATCTGAATTATTTCTTAATTTTTTAAAATACATATAGTACATACTACTGACTACTAAATCATAAAATTATGTTGCTAAATATAAAAGACTGATATAATATAATACATGTATCTTAAACTGTGCCCTTTGATGGAATTTTTGAAGCTGGCCATATTACTTACATAATTATAAAGGAATATCTAATTCACATAAATTTTTCATCAGTTTTCAGAGCTTAGTCATCAATCATTTTTGGCCTAAGTCATCATGTAGGTATTTAATTTAAACAATATTTTATTCACTGATGTTATCATGAATAGGATTGGGCAGCAGGCGCAGCCTATTTTAGCCCTCTCCCTAAAGGTATGCATGTATCCACTTTTCATTGACATCTTTAACACTCTTGCCACACCTCCTACCCCCTGTAACTTGACTAAGATCCAGTCCCTACCTCCTATAAGCCTCCTCCTGGTGGAGTTTCATCTGATCCTGCATCCCAGACTGGGTGGGGGAGGAGTTAGGAGCTATTGGACCCTCGTGTTCAAGTACGGGGGCTCCTCCAACCATTATAGCTGTACCCTCCTCATATTCCTGAGAATTCAAAATAAAATGTACATAACAAAGTCAATCATAAAGCCTTCCAATGAAAGAGAGTAGTGACCAAAATGTGATTATAATGTAAGAGAAGAAAATGACTTACGTTTTCATCTGTTTTCAATGCCTCAGTGCCAGCAACAACTATTGATAAGAATAAAAATACAGGCATGTACATGCTTGTTATGAAGCTTGTAGACAATTTTACAAATTCAGAGCATGTAATTGAAATCTATCAGTTACGGGTTGCGCATTCACTTTTTTAACTGTTCTGAATTTTATCAAGCAATACCTGGTCCCTCAGGAAGATTTGCCCCTGACACAGAATCTGGCCCGGCTGATTTTTCCACTTCTACAAACTCTGTGGTTTTGATGTATTCTGTATTTGTCACAGTCTTTATTATCACCTAGTAGAAAGAAATCACAAAATATACAGCACATACATGTATATACACAAAGATTGGAGCAGAGAGAGAGAAACTGCACTTATTCCAGTTAAAATTAATACTCTTCAGTTGAATGAATTCCCTGACCCATAAATGTAGCAGTGGAAAGGCAAGTGAGTAATCGCAAAGAAAAGTTAAAACATGAAAAGTAAAATTTTCCCGAGCTTCTACTTTTTATTTCCCATACCTTGGTTTCCCCAGCAACAGCATTAGCTTGAGCCAGTTCCTCTTCAGTCAGAACCCGTCCATAAGCGTCCACCACTTGACCTTCAGGGTTGATCAGCTGACCTTTCTCGTTGACTAGATTACCGTCCTCGTTAATCATCTGATTGTTTTGATTGACCACTACCACTGTCTGCTTGACCACCTGTCTACCTGTCTTGGGGTCCACCATCACGGTTCGTCCGTCCTGCATCACCACAGGTATACCAGGCTGTTGTACCACTTCCTGACCATCAGAGTCTATAACTATCACCTTACCATCAGCAGTGGTTTTAACCGGTGGTTTTGTGGGCTGTGTGGGCTGGACAGCCACTTTTTGCCCACTGGCAGCCACCACCACTGTGCCATCAGGAGTGATTATTTGCTGTTGGCCACTCTGTGTCTCTGTTACCAGTTGACTCCCTGGTGGTAGAACTACCACTTTACCATCACCAGTTACCACTTCCTGGCCCGCCTGGGCTGAAGATACCACAGCAGTCTTACCATCTTTTGTTACCACTTGTTGCCCTGGTTGGGGTTCTAAAATTACAATAAGAACATTTCATATAAGGTCCTACATTTAGAACTCTGTAAACATTTTTTTAGAAAGATGTGATTGTGGAAACATATAAATTAAAAGTATTTTTGATAATAAAGACAGAAAATATTTTAAATCTCATTGAGTTTAAAATTCTGTGAAAGAAAAAATATTATTATTTAGATAAACAAAAGAATATGCAATACTTTTCAAAAAACCTGAAATATAAAGGCATAAAGCCTTCTTTATCATTCTTTATCATTATTACATATTTGAAATGTGACCAAATATTTACTTTCATTGGTGACAAATGCAAGCTTTAAAGGGTGATAGGAAGGGAGGCTTCCCAAGACATTGGTCAGATGTGAAGATTACACTGTTGTAGGATTTTGTGCAAGGAAAGGATAATTCATTTAGAGGATTGACAATTACTTAATCAAAACACAAAAATATATTGGAACAGAATACATGGGTTAGTCTTATCATTTTTCTTTTAAAAACTTAAATACCAGACTTTGTTTGCATATATCAGTATATATATCTTTGCAATTTGAAGATGGAATAAAACTTAGTAGACTAGCAACCAGTGATTCAAATTATAACATTTTTCTCTTTTGCTGCTGACTTCAGTAAAATGCAAATTCGCAAATTTACCATAAGCTTAATTTGAAAAAGCCCCTTTATTTTAACTCTGATTTCCAATGCAAGAAATGAATAACATTGTTCTTTCTTTAAAGTGGACACAAGTCTCTACATTCTTAGCATTACATTACTACTCCATGACCTTTAACTTCTCAATCTTTTAACTTGCTTTAAAATTATTGTCCACTTTGTTTCTATCTTCTCACTTAATCCTGTATGCCTCTAACTTTAATTTTGTTAATAGTTTAATGTTAAAAACTTTATGCACTATAAATTAAGAAAACATTTTCCCAAGGTGAAGTACCCTTTTCTCATTAAAAAAAACTGATTGAAAGAAAATATTTTACACACAAGTCAAGAGAAA